TACATATCACAGTTAGCTTCCCAAGCCAACTGTCAGCTGTTAATAACAAATCCAATCAAAACCAGCTGACAGCCATTTCTCAAGTAGTTCAAAAGATCTAAAATCATATATTTCTCTGTGAAGGAGTCAAGAAAACTAAGAAAATTGAAAGGTGAATGTTAATAAGGAAAATTTATAAGCACCTGAAATAATTTACACTATAGATTTTTCAAAAAATTATCCTACAAGGTTTTTTTCTACAGTAATTTCACTCCCATTCTTTCCTTTCTTTCATTTTCTGAATTTACCTTTCCACATTCAATTGTGAACACATCTGAAATGCAGCTATATATTAAGTAAATTAATATGTTCACTAAATGCATAGGCCTGGTTATAGGTACCAGGTACTTTTCATGTCTGTTCTACCATGACTATGTGTTAGTGAGACATAAGAATTATGTAAAGCGTACTTCTGCTGTTACAGGTGTTGGTAGAGAATTTTAAAGAGAAACAAAGAAATAAAGTACATGGAAGCAAAAGTAGCATAGTGTTACCTGTCAAAATAAATCTGGCAAGGTGGATCTCAGAACTCGGGTCAATTTTTTGTTAAGAGACTATAAAAAGGTCCTTTAACTACAGGAAACCGAGCTTTGATTTAATATGCAACATGAGTCTAGACAAGGCTGTTTTGTACATATATTTAGAGAACAGTCGCTTCTTTAAATGTCCCTTGGATGGGAACTCATCTGAATCCAGTTACCTTCACTGATATGCCTCTGTCTGAATCAGCCGCAACATGACCTTGCAAATTTAATTCTTCAGTAGAATAATGATGAGAAATTAAACCATCCATTTTGCTCCAACTTTTCTGTATTCTTCATCCTAAAAATTACTGCTTGGCATTCAGCCCCACTTTCTCCCCCAACACAACAAGTTTTGTTTTGTTTTAAAACACAGGAATTGTGATAGCTAACAATTGCAGTTTCACAGATGGGGACCACAGGTGCCTATCAGTATCCCAACACTGCTGTGCTCTTCATATATGCCTTTTTCCTTACCCATCATTGACCTGACCAGGTTCTTTTGCAGTTACTTAATAACTGTGAAGTATTCGCTGATAGCATGCTGTTCACAAAATAGGTTTCTCACCCTTAAATATACAATAGAAATACCCTTTGTTTACTTTACACTAGTCATACCAATGAACACAACTCATATTTGCATCTTAATTTCTATGCACATGCAAAGTGTAGTTAGCCTCCAGCAATGTAGACTAGGACTTCGACCAATGATTATGCACAATTATACCGCTGTTAATGACCATAACCAGGAAATGGGTGAACCTGTTCTTTTTACCTATAAATCACACAGATTTTCTTCTTACCTTCTTCTCTTCCCTGTCAAAACCCCCTCTTTAATGTAGTTTGGATCCAAATAAGTGTAACAGGGAGTTAAACTGCCATATAACTATTCTTCCATCTCATGACAATGATGTTCTTTCCTAAATAATGGTCACTTTAATGCACCAAAGTGAGCTTCCTCTATTTCCTGAAGTTCACTGAGAGCCCTGATCCAGATTAATTGAAATTCGTAATCATCATCTGAGAATACCTGTGGTCTTGGTAACTTCAACCAAACAATTGCAACATTGAAAATTCTGCCATGATCTTCTCAGAAATCTATAAAAATTCACTTTCCATATTTGAAAATCTGTTCTTGGGAGCAAGCTGTGTCCATTTTCATTTGTTCTTTACATAATACAGACTGGAAATCTTAGCTCAAAATGATAACTGTTAATTCTGCCTTGATAAACTGATGCATTAAAGGAAGAAATGCCCTGCAGTTTCAAAGCTCTTTCTTGTTTCTCCAGTCTTTACTGTCAGTTTGCTACCTTGAATATGGTAGCTCCTATTAGTCGTATTCACAGCCAGAACAATGAGGAAACTGGATGATGGAGCTCTAATTCCTCTGATGGGTCCTGGTAACCTCCTAAAACACTAGACAGGACTCTGCCTACACAAGTCATTGCACCCAATTCCCACTCATACTGCTTTACCCTGTGGCTCTTTCACTCCTGGTGATGACTGCTGCTCTTTCCAGGCTTTCTTACAGTGCAGCTTTTTAGCATTCTATTCACTACTGAGGTAGTGCCCAGCTGCTTGGTGTATAAAGCACAGTGGTGCCCTAATTGTGAGCTGTGCTGTTGCATTTCCTCAGGTGGTTATGTAGGATGTAAGAAGGACTGCAAAAATGTTCAGGTCAGAGCAGTGCTCTGGTGCAATGCCTAGCGGCTGGACACACCATGTCCTTGTCTCCTTTCAAATGAGAGAACATGAATGCATTCACGAATATGATGTCATGTTGCAGAAATGCTGAAGGCTGAGTGTGCTAGGCAAAGCTAGTGTGGTGAGATAAAATAGCCTCCCGATGTTGCATTCCTGATTTTCACCCATCTCCAGTGCTAGACTCGCCAAATCTGTTAGCTGTTAACTAATACATTCTGTAAGAGGTTTAAGCATATGGCAAAAATTCCAATGAAAGGATGCATGATGAACGAAACCCAAAACATTTTAGGTACTTCTTCCTATATTCCACCAAAGTAAGTATTTTTATGCACATATTTCATCCCTGAGGAATTGCAGTTACCAGGTATTTTCAGAAGTTAGGACCCTTTTTTTCCTGAATGTCGTTGCAATGTATCACAGAATACAGAGAAACTTTACAAAAGCATTGAGCTGAAAGACAGTAGAAGTACATACATAGATGTGTGAGCACAAAGAATAGTTTTATGCTATAAAATTCTGATCACTTTTTCAAAAATGAGACCAAAAGGTATGATATTAAATGGGAAAGAAAAATGTGTCATTGATGGATGAAGTTTCAATAGAATTCATTAGGAGCTACAGCACACATATGTGTACATACATGAAATGAATTGTTAATATTGTTAAAAAGTTTATATAATGGATTATTAGTAAGATTTCATTCAAGGTAGAAGCATGCATTTGGGAATGGAAATGTGCAGGATCACAGTCATAATCCACTGATTATTGACAGCAAAAGGACTTAACTTCAGTGTCTATTGAATCAGCCAGTCATTTATGATTATTATTTATTCTATTTGATAAATGGATTCATTATTCATGTTGATATATGTAGTTTGCCCTGTGTCCCATACAAAATCTTCCTGTCCTGTACATGATGATCTATTTT